TTTTTTTTTTTTTTTTTTTTTTTTTTTTTTTTTTTTTTGTAACACCATTTTGAAAATATATGTTTTGTTAGAAGATATTTTGGGAGCATTATTTCTTTTCAGTCTTTTCTTTTGACAGGCTAAAGAAATGGTGGAATTATCAAAATCAATTGCTAATAAAATTAAAGAAAAGCAAGGTGACATTACAGAAGATGAGGTAAAGATGCTTTTTTTTTAAAGCTTTAGAATGCAGTTTACACCAATAGCACCAATAACAGTGACATTTTTGTGGCTTACCAGTTTGCTTTTGGAGGGGGGCAGTACTGGGAATTAAACCTAGAGCCTTTGCACTAAGCTACATCCTTAACTGCCTCTTTTATTTTTTAGTTTGAGACAAGGTCTTGCTAAGTTGCCCAGGCTGGGCTCAAACTTGCAATCCTCCCACTCAGTCTCCTAGAGTACTGGGATTATAGTGTTTGCTGCCATACTTGGCCGTAGTGTGTGTTTTATACATATCCCTAGACTTTATGTCTGTTCATGAAATTTGTCTACATTATGGACACATCCATATTTCTGTTTAAGTTTTTGGTTGTATCATTTGGTTGGTATTAAATATAAAATAGTCATTATCTAAATGTTCTCTTGCACCGAATTTGTGAAGTGAACAAACTATGAGAGACCACGATAGAAAGAATTACTATACATCCATTGCTTTATGGTTCACAGCATAGAAACGCAGTAGGAGAAATGGGTATATAGAGAAGTAATTTAGCAAATTACATTTATGATGAAAAGATTTCAAATATTGGTGTGAAAAGATTAATCCTGAAGTCTTCTTTATTCATTATTTCCTCTCATTGTAGACCATCAGGTTTAAGTCCTACTTGCTGAGCATGGGAATAGCTAACCCAGTTACCAGGGAAACCTACGGCTCAGGCACACAGTACCACATGCAGCTGGCCAAACAGCTGGCTGGAATATTACAGGCGCCTTTAGAGGTAAAACTAAACCTTAGGATACTTTTAAAACTGTCAGTTGTGTCCATATCATCAGAAATCTTAACAACATAACTCCTTTCATGGTGTGGTTATTATCAATTGACCTGTTTTTTTCTTTTTCTTTTTCTTTCTTTCTTTTTTTTTTTTTTTTTTTTTTTTTTTTTTTTTTTTTTTTTTTGGTTCTGGGGACTGAACTCTGGTCCTTGTGCTTGCAAGGCAGGTCACCGAACCACTGAGCTAAATCTCCGGTCCCTGTTTTTTTCTTTGTGGATATTAAAATTAGCTTAGTTTACTTATTCATGAGTCTTTGTAGTTGTCTAAATTGATTTTTATTTGCATTTCAGACTCTGTAACTAAGTCTATTGGAAAGTTTTTATTTTCAAAAGAAATACATGATGTGTCTATAGATATATTTCCCAGACATCACATCATTTTATCTATAAGTATTTCAGTAACTGTACTGATAAAAATCTTTATACATAAATATAATTTCATTTCATACTCCCCAAATTAAGTCCTTAGTATCACCAAATACCTCATTAATATTTATGTTTGTCTTATAGTTTGTCTTTTTGACATTATACTTGATTGATCTGTATCTGACGTTTGGGTTTGGTTTTTTTATTCCATGGATTTTACCTTCTTTCTCCTGACTCCTTAAACATTTTTTAAAAATTTATTATTATTATTATTACTATTTTTGGTTTTTTGAGACAGGGTCTCACTATGTAGTTGAGACTGACCTGGAACTAACTATGTAGCCCAGGCTGGTCTTGAACTCACAGCAATCCTCCTGCCTCAGCCTTCCGAGTACTGGAATTACAGGCGTGTGCCACCACACCTGGCCTCCTTAAAATTTATTGAAGAAACTTAATAGCTTATGCTATAAAGTGTCTCATAGTTCAGTTGACTATATTCAGCGTTTCCCATCCTATGTATTCCCTGTCAACCATTATAATCTTTTTTTTTTTCTGGCAAAAACATTTCTTGAGGGTGCTGTGCACTTCTATCAGGAGGTAGATAATGTCTGATTCTCTTTTTTTCATAATATTAGCAGCTACTGACAGTTATTAACCTAGATCTGTTCATTAGTGGTTGCAAAATGTCAGTATTGTTAATCTTAATTTATTGGCCGGAATAACTTAAAATGTTTAAATGTACTCTTTTGTTTGTTAGTTTTTTTGAGACAGGGTCTTGCTATTGAAGTTCAGGCTGGCCTTGGACTCACTATGTAGCCCAGGCTGGCCTTGAACTCACAGTGATCCTCCTGCCTCAGCCTGAGTGCTGAGATTACAGGCATACTTTGAAAATATTGTGAAGAGCCCCTTTTCATTTAAGTGAATGCTAAAACACTAACAATGACATCAGTCCAAATACTGAAATTCTGAGAGATAAGTGGTGATTGAAAAATACGTTGAATGTTTAAATTTTGAAAACTTACTACAGCAAAAGATACATTAACAAGAGCAATTGGATAATTGTGTTTGAAATGAGAGGGAGTATTTTGAGGGCATTAATGGCAGTGTGTCTTTTACTGTAATACATTTTTAAATTTAAACATAATTTTTGAAGACTCCTCATCAATCTGTCCTTTACAGCAATTTCTGTCAAATAAAAACATTACAAGTATGTCCTCATCTACCTTATTCATTGGATCTGGTGCTGTGTGATTTGTGGCTCTTCTCAAAGTCAAAAATGACCATGAAAGGTAAATATCTTGACTTAGGGGCCAGGGATTTAGCTCAGTGGTTCTGATGCCTGCCTTGCATCAGAAGTTCGATCCCCGGTACCAAAAAAAAAAAAATTATTTAGGACGCGAAAGCAGCCATGATAATGTAACTAAAGGTACTTACTTATAAAAGAGGGCTTCCGGGACTACTTCAGAAAGTGACAAGAACAATGGGAAAAGTATTCAAAGTGAGGAGTTCAAGGCAGATTAATGACAATCTGTCTTTTACTGTAAGAAATTTTAAAAAATTTAAACACTGAATGTATTTTTCTGTCACCCCTTATATATAAGAAAACTATAAATATAATTTTAAAAACTTAAGAAATTTTCTGATTTGTGATTTTGCTCTGATTACAATTTTTTGCGAAGAAACACTACCTGATGCTAATTTTACTTGTTTTTCTTATTTTAATAGGAGCGAGGGGGAATAATGTCGCTCACAGAGGTGTACTGTTTAGTAAACCGAGCTCGAGGAATGGAAGTAAGAATACCATATTTAGATACTCTTCTAGCTAAATATAGACGTTCTTGATGTAATACAAATTCCCCAAAGTGAATACAATTTGAGGAAGGGTTGTGAATGTCAAAGCTACCTGTCCAAGTATGGTGTGGTGAAAAGAATATGGCTTTGGGATCTAAGAGGTAGATTATGTTCTTGGTTTGTTAGTGGTTTGCTGAGTGACCTTGGGTAGCTTACTTAATATTTCAGAGACTCAGTTTTTTACCTTTAAGGTAAAGAGTTTGGACTGAGCGGTGCCTTTCAGCTCTAATAGTCTGCATTTGTGTTGTGATGAGTGAAGATATGCAGGAAGCCTATTCTCCGCAATAGTTAACTCTTGAATTAATTTGGTGGACACAGATTGCCAAGTAGATAGCACAGCGGGAAAGCCACCTTCCTTGGGTGTGTATCATAAGTGGCTGTTCTTAGCTCTCATTGCCCTGTCACACTCATATAGATGTGGCCTCCAAGGTTCTTTTGGGTTCTCAGTGTCCCAGTAGTCAAATGCAGTGTTGTGGTGTCAGCAGTCACCTGTGGAAATGACTCACACACCTTTCCAGCTTCACCCCAGTCTCACAAGTTACGCCTCTGTTCTGTCTTTATTTGAAGAATCATCACAGCTGTTGTCACTAAGTTCTTATCCACCAGGCATTTTGCACATTACTTCATTACCCCTCCAGGAACTCAGTGAGGTACCTGCTCCACTCGGGATAGTTTAAGGATGAGGAAATTGAGGTTTTGATGAAATAACTTGGCCAAGGCCATGACTGGAAACAGTGCTCTAACAGGGATTTGAATCCAGTCCTGGCAGGCTCTGGGTTCATCCCATGTAACTTAGAGCTATGCTTGTCACCATGCAAAAGGGTGGCTACTCGTTAGCTATCTGGGACAGTTACAAACTTGTAACATACTAGATTTAGAAGACTGCTTACAAAATAAAAGTTAACTGTCAGTATCTAAAAACATTTTTTTGTTGTTGTGGTGCTGGAGACTGAATGAATGCAGAGCCTTGCCACTGAGCTCCATTTCTAGCCCATTAACCTTTTATGTGGCTTTTGGAAAATTTGAAGTTTTATATATA